TGAGAGAATTAGGTAACTTAAGGTGTAGCTATTTCAGTGATCACTTACATCACAATAAAGAAAGGACTTGATGAAGAGAAAACCCTTTTCTATAAAACAGCTGCACAATGTTCACTTGACTAGCTAACCACAAGCTAGAGGAAGTCCAGGGCTGTTATAATAACATTCATGTGATTGATGACATACAATATGTAACCTAATGCTAATAATAGTATTGTTGTTATCAATGTAAGGCTCCTTTGTTGCACACCACTAAAGTCTGAACTGCTAAATATGTAGTTTCAAATCACCTTCATACTACTCGATTAATTCTGCTTGAAACTATCATAATTATACCTTAACGATGTGTGACATAATGTTCACCAGCAGACAGTATTGTCAAAAGGGGTGTATTTCTATTGCACAGTAAAGGGGAGTGAGGTTATACCTTTATTACAGTATCTTATTTCTTTTTGGAGGTGTATTTGGGGTGGTTTCTGATGTATCTATTACCAAACATTGTATAAGATAAAATCTTACAAGCCAAATCATTCTATGCCAGTGGGGAAGTGTATTAGGTGTACAAGGCTGTGGCTATGTACATGTATTGTAGGTTAGGGAATGGTCTGTTATGTACAATGTAAAGTTTTAACACAAGTAATAGAGCTCTGCTTACATTGTGTTATACAGTTCATACATCTGGTCACATCACAATATTCTGATCAAACCAAGCTTTACTGTGTCCTCTAGCATGAATACTGTGACTCTAACTCTCACTCTCTCTCTCTCTCTCTTTCTCTCTGCACCATCCCTTTCTCGTCTTTGAGGTGATTTTGGAGTCATTTTTTGAAAAAAGGAAAATTTTTAAAAGTAGCCTATTAAAAAAATTATCACAACAATTTGAGCTCGGAATCAGCTCAAACTTTCTACACAGCATAAGTACATCAACATGTACCAGAAAATTTAATAGAAATTGGGGTTGATTTTGGAGCCATTAAAGAAAAACATATGTAACATATACTAATGTATATTTAGAATTTTATACAGTATCAGTATACTATTGTATACAAATACATGAATATTATGTATAATTTCTCTCCTTCCTCCCTCTCTTCCTCTCATTCTTTAGGTTTTAAAATATAACACAAAACAAAAGCAAAAATGACATAGCAATGACATATACAAACTAAAGTATATACTGATATCACAAGAAGGACACGCAAAACCAAAATAAAGAGTAGAGGAGACGGAAGACAATACAAACCAAAATTAAGAAAAATAAAAGAATAGTCAAATTAGATTATTTTTTCAAATGAGTTTGTACATGTACACCTATAAAAATCTATAAATCTAGTTAGTCTTGGAGTATTTTAATTTAAAGAAAACAGATTTCCTATAATAATAGTAACACAAAAATTATTTTGTACTTAAATGTTCTATAGCATCAGCTACAGCACATTCACCAATACCTTTAACAGCCTCAATTAGTTCTTTGTATCTTGCTTTACCAGTTATCAACCATTTTGCAAGGCATTCACGAAGACAAGGATGGCTTTCTCTCATGTCATTTTTAATAACTTGTAACTGATTATAAGTAACATCCAACCTTAATCCAAAATCAAACCATTTGTCAAATGGAAACTCTTTTTCCTGTAATATTGTGATTATTTCCTTTAAATCACCAATGTGGAGGATTTTTGTAACTAATAATAGTAAAAATAATAACATTAAAATTTAATATAATATTTTTACTCACATTCATCTTTTATATCTCTTTTGCTAGTAAGCCATGAACAATTTTCTGTAGATTTTTCCTCTATATCATCATCAAATTTTTCACAGTTAACAATGATAAAGTCTTCTTTTATTGTGCTATTCTTTATTGTAGCTTTATGATCTCTTGCATCACCACATGAACAATAAAATGCCAGAATTGGTAACTCATCATCAATATTTTTCTTCTCCATTACATCTTTAATGGATTTTTCTACAGCGTCTTTAACTTTGACTCTATCAGCAGTTTTTCCACAATGTATTTCAATGCAATCAAGCTGTTCTACTAGAGTCAAGTTTATAATTTGACAACCTTCCATTGTTTTTTGCAATGTAAAAAAATTAGAATAATTTCCTTGCCTGGAAGTAATTCTCCAAGAGTCTGAGAGAAGATGCACTATAACAGCACAAAAGAGGCCCATAGGAACAGCTCTGTCTTTAAAGTAGAAAAGTAAAGGTGTTGTTTTAAGAGTAGCTACCTCAGTGTCAGATATATCAATGAGAGGAAGAAGTGCTGGCATCAAAAATTCTCTTTCTGAAAGCTGTGCAGCAATATCAAGATGTTGAAACAGACCCAAAAGGGGATCCT